CGTAAGATGGCAAACAAAGAGCAGAATCCTTCAGATTAAGAAACCAGTGTCATCACATCATCATCTAGCCAGATTATATGATAGACAATCCTTGCTTAAATAGGAATTTTACACTATGCTTTTACTATAACCTTGAAAAAGCATCAGCAAGCAAAAGGAATATAATCTCTAATTAAAAAAGAGCAATTTCACTGCAGCTACCACATATTTAAATCTTTAATTACTTTACTAGATGAATTTCAATATTAATATCATCCCTTTTGTGTAAATCACCATAACACTTTCTGAAATATGCTCTGTCTAGCCCTCAAGGTATCCAAACATATCCGTATATGATACAGATCATGGGCCTAAGCTGTCTCCAATTTTCAGAAAGATGCTTAACAGCTAATTGAAGTATCATGCCTGGCAAAACTGAGGCTCAGATAAAAAAGAGAGAGTGTGGCTTTTTCAAACTAGTGAGATGGTAGAAACAAATCAATGACTTCTGCCTTGGAACAAGGAGGGAGTTGTATTGAGGGACCAGTTAAAATTACAGCACTCAGCTCAACAATGCCTAAATTGGTGCTAACTGAAAGCATAATATTCCTTAGTTACAAGAAGAAGAATCAATTAACAGGCATGTTGTCTCTCTTTAAAGTCAAGAAATTTTATCTGTAGCTGTAAGAAACAGCTGACTAGAGGTAATAATTGAGGAGAAAAAAAAAAAATCAGGAAGCTTGGCAAGACTCTCATATCACTTAAAGTATAACATAAGAGCTCCAAGCAAAATGCAGGTACAAAGCACAGGTAAACACTGAAGCATACAGCGATGTTGGAATCAGACCTGTAGTCACAGATATGATATCAGCTCCATTCTGCACTACACAGAGCATCGAAGCGTCTAAAGGAGTGTAAGGACCACTCTCCAGTTCTCTAACTGCAGAGGTTCTAGAGAACAGCACCTGAAAAACCTGTGTGTTACAGAAATAAAATGCTAAGGCAATATGAAATAGGAATGTATTTGTTTTCCATTTTGATGGATAGTTTTGATGCACAGTTCGATAAGCTTCACAAGCCATGTTTGATAGAATAAAGTAGCTTTATTCATCAACTTTGGCTGGCTGTACATGTGACTGCTAGGCAAAGTAGATTTCCTTTTTCTACTTACTTCAGAGAAGCAAATCCCTATCTTGGGTAAACTTCTTAACTTTTGTAGCCTGTCTGCACAAGATCGTGGCTCTCAAAAGTTAAAGCACTCAAGTAAGCTCTTAAAAGAGCATCCAAGAAGTTCTGAGTATTGTTTTAACTTTTTTGATCACTGTGGTATCTAGTTACAAAGCATTAAATTTCATGGCTGCAGAGTTATTTACTTATATATTTTGTACAGAACTGTTCTATATATCACTGTTGTTCATCATCCTTTATGGACATGGTTCTTCTTCTTAATTTCCACTTCACTCTATCACTTGAAGTGCCTGAATGTACTGTACAATATACAATAACACACATATCTGCAATCTATAATGACAAGCATATTCAAAATTATTTCCTAACATTACAGTTCTTATTTATGCAATTAAGTTAAACAATGGAATTTCGTGGCCACTACTCAGCATTAAAATATTTTTTTTAAAAAAATTTAATTAAAGTACCTAAATGCTAAATCAGAAGGCCAGTCTTATTCCTCATTCCCAGGAAGGCCATTTACCCTGTTCCCAAGTTGCTTCATGTCACTTAAAAGTAAGCAGAAAACTGCTCTAAGATAATTCCTCAAGCTGGGGAAATTGTTCAGCTGGGGAAATAGAAAGGAGACCTTTTGCTGCTTTCTAGTACACTAAGGTCATTTTCATTATGTCTAAAAACAGAACTATGTTTCTCCACCTCTTTCTGTGTTTGTGAAAATATGGTACGTACTTTTAACATCCTGCACACTATTCACTACTTGTTAACATGTAGACTACTCAGATGCAGTTAGAAGCATATACAGAGATATGAGACATGTAGATGACATATACATCAAAATCATCTTTTAAATGATTATTTTAAATCAATAGAATAAAATTGATTTAACAAAACTACAGGGAGAGAGATGTTCATTCTTTCCATCTGAAACTAAGCAAAAGCCTGGAAATCAAGATATATGTAAAGACTCTCGCTAAGCTTTTGATGATACCCAGAAGTCTGTAGCCTTTTTCTTGAATGAGAACTAGAGTATCTTAAGACACTGACTCCCAAATGTCCAATGTCTGTCAAAAAACAGACAAGGAAAAAGTAGCTTTAAAGCAGTATAGCGGCCTATGCCTTGCATCTAAGATCCATATTCAAAGGATTCTTATGTCACTTTCATCTATGTTTACACAATTAAAATTTTTTTCTTAAAGAAAGATAACTGCTCTAAGTTCTAATAATGAATATTTGATCAGTGAATATACTTGTTTTTCAATTGTGTCTTATGGTTCAGAGCTTTTTGCAAAGACAGATCCAATGTTTTTAGGAGGTTCCTGGAGTGTGTGGAAGATAACTTCCAGACACAGCTGGTAAGGGAGCCAACTAGGGAAGGTGTCCCACTGGACCTGTTGTTTGTGCACAAAGAAGGACTTGTGGGTGATGTGATGGCTGGAAGCTGTCTTGGGCATAGTGATCACGAAATGTTAAAGAGTTTTTCACTCATGGAGAAGAAGAGGGGTCAGCAGAACTGCCACCTTGGACTTCTGGAGGGCAGACTTTGGCCTGTTTAGGAGACTGGTTAGCAGAGTCCCTTGGGAGGCAGTCCAGAAGGGCAAAGGAATCCTGAAGGGCAAAGGAGTCCAGGAAGGCTGGACATTCTTCAAGAAGGAAATCTCAAAGGCACAGAAACAGGCCATCCTCATGTGCCAAAAGACAGGCCAGCAGAGAAGACAACTGGCCTGGCTGAACAGAGAGCTTTGGCTGGAACTCAGGAAAAAAAAGGAGAGTTTATGGCCTTTGGAAGAAGGGGCAGGCAACTCAGGAGGACTACAAAGATGTTGTTAGGCTATGCAGGGAGAAAATTAGGAGGCCCAAAGCCCAACTAGAACTTAATCTGGCTACTGCCATAAAAGACACTAAAAAATGTTTTTATAAATTCATTAACAACAAAAGGAAGACTAAGGAGAATCTCCATCCTTTGCTGGATGCAGGCAGAACATAGTGACAAAGGATGAGGGAAAGGCTAAGGTACTTGATGTCTTCTTTGCCTCAGCCTTTAGGAGTAGGACCAGTTGATCTCTGGGTACCCAGCTGTCTGAGCTGGAGGACAGGGAGCAGAACGAAGCCCCCATAATCCAAGGGGAAATGTTTAGCTACCTGCTACACCACTTAGACACACGAAAGTCTATGGAGTTGGGTGGGATCCACCCAAGGGTACTGAGGGAGCTGGCAGAAGTACTCACCAAGCCACTTTA